CCCCGACATGATCTGCCTCCCCACATCATATTTCATAGAAGGGGTATGGAAAACAGCAAAACAAACACCTCCCAGTGGTTAGGAGAATCAACCTGGGAAAGCTGGGATCAGCCACATTAAGACATCAACTTGCTTATTTAGCTTGGACTCAAGTTCATGAATCTGCGTTAGTCACGATCCTTCATTCATTAGTCCCTGAATGGCCTGGCATGTAATTGCTTATTTGATAATAGAGTAAGCAATTATAGTCCACTACTCAACGTGAAAATGAAACTTGATGGATCTGACATCTTCCTATTCTTTCCAACCATTGTCCCCGACTCATTGCCTGACACAATCATTCCTCGCAAACATTCGTATTTATATTTAGCAATCTAAGCATGACAAAACTGCACTCCAATCACAGACATGTGTGTGTATACAAAGAAAAAAAAGGAGAGAAAACAAATGTTCAGTTTCATTTTTCCTGCATTCCCTAGGAGGGCAGCATGGTGGAAGTGAACATTTCCTGGACTTCTAAGACCCAGTGATATTTATTTATTACAGTGTGCCATGTATTTATTACAATGGCTTCTTTACTCTCCCGTTGTGTAGGTTCGCCATGCTACTTATTGCACACCCCTTGCCTAGCAGATACCTGACTTGGTTCTGCCTTATATTTTATTCTCCGATATGGAAACTTTTAGACTTCTACAGGAATAGGCAGGACAGCATGGAAAAGCTCAGGAAAACTATCACCAGTGACAAAAATTGTCAACATATGGTCAACCTTATTTCTTTTACTCATCCACCTAAGATACTGCCCTTAATGCACTGCGCCTTTCAGAAAGGTGACAGCTCTTTCTTCCTTTTAATGTATTGATCTCACCATGCTTCCTCTTTGGCATGAATGCAAGTTATTTAGAACCCCAGTATCACATCTTCTGACACCTCAGAAGCGTAGTTTGATGCAGCATGTCCAAGGCACAGTCAAGGTGAGTTAGGAAACTAGCTGGTGGTTCCTTCTTGTCACAGTCAGATTCTTTTCGGGGGTCATTTCTGAAGCTGCCAAATCAGCAGCTGGAGACCCAGGCAGGGAGCTGAAGGGACTAATGAAGGGTATGTAGCGGCCAAGGCCTTGCTGCCCCAGAGGTTTGTGATGCCCTGCCTGGTCCTTCCATCTCAAGCCATTTCACAGAGAAAGCCTAGATAGTCAAAAGCATCTGCTTCCTCTGCCTATTTCTTCTCCCTCTCAAATGGTTAGAAAACAGAGGAGACGACAGGGAAATGTCAAAATAAGGGTCAAAATTGATCCTGGTTCTCCTTGGTCCCAATCAGGGGCTGTTAAACTCTCTGTGAAGGGCCAGGTAGTAAACGTTTCAGGCTTTGCTGTTTGAGCTGCGCTGTCTACAAAGAGCAAAGAAGGCCAATAACAATCCATAAATGTGCAGGCATGGCTTACATTCTGATAGGAAGCAATGTACAGAAGCCAGAGGCAGACTAGAGCTGCTGGAAGCTGTGCTCTGCCTGTGGGTAGCCTACACAACGCAGCTGTTTCGATTCCAGCTGGTGCTTCCTGAGTTTGACTTTTACATGTTAAAAGGGAAAAGTATAAATACACAAAGTACAGCTACATAATTAGTAGAGGTTTCGTTATCATCCCGACTTGTCAAATGAGAAAGGCGGCAGGCAGCCTGTATGATTAAAGGACTTCCCCAGGATCACACAGCTTGAGTTTGAGCCCAGATAGCTTTCTTCCAGTTCTTTATTTCCAACTTTCATCTCTGTCTGGATGCAGCTGAAGAGCATTGTAATGAAGGCAGTCAAGCGTGGGGGATAACCTAGTCACCTGGAACACCACTTGGTCCAGTCTGTGCACACACCCAACTCCAAACAATGCACCTAGCAACCCTTCAGCAACCTGGGAGCCAAACCTGAAGGAAGCCATGTGCACACCCCACTTTGAACAATGGAGTGTGTTCTCCCTTCCCTTATTGACCGCCAAACTCAGATTCTATTCAGTCATGCCCTGATTATGTCTATGTACGAAGGTAGAGATCAGGTCCAGTCTAGATTGGTCTTGGATTCATTTTGTAACGAAGCAAAACAGTGTCACTAAGTGAACTCCTGAGGGAAAAAAAAAAATCCTGTTTGCCATCTTATTGCATATGCATAATTGGGTGTGCATATGATTATAATCAGATGTGTTACAGAAACGGACACACCAAGAGAAATGTTTATGCAAGATAACCTGTCAATCAAAATAAAGAATTGCTCCAACTAAGCTCTACTAACCAAACTTCCCCTTCCTTTGAATCCCATACAAGAAAGTCCTGGGAAAATAGTCAGGCCTTTGAATACCTCACTCATTTTGACCACTGTCAATCTTAACATTGTAGCACTGACTTGTGCTATCAATCTGCTTCAAACAAAGTTTCCTTGACACCTTTGCAAATCTATATGCAGCCTTCTTTCACTTCTTTTAATTAAGAGACTAAGAGCCAGTTCAGATTCTGACCATCAAAGTACTTTATAATTTTGCATTAACATTTTCTTTGCCTTACAACATGGGGAACTATAACTGATAATTGATGCATAATTTTTTTTATATCAGGACACTCAGTTGTATATCACTAATCAGTTCCCTTTTCAAAGGATTGCCTGAGATAGATTGCTAGGAGTAACACTACTGACACCTCTATGACCTTGTCTAACTAATCTTTTGTGACAGCTGGGTAGGGGAAGGAGGCGTTCATCTATGGCATTTGCCATGTTTTATGGTGAGACAAACTAACAATATCTCTACATTACCAGTACGATGTCCCTGAGCAGAAAAGGTAAGAGATTCTTGGTTCTTGGAAACATGTTCAAGTTGACCCCAGTACCTCACTGGCTTCATCCTCATTGCTTTTTTCCTATTCACAAATTACTAAAGGAGCTATGCGGTACTGAGGTGCCTACATCCAAACAGCCTTGATCTTACTCATTAACACCGGATAGGGTGTGAGTGCGCAGGCAACCTCAAAGTTTTTGTCTGACGATCACTGACACAGCGTTTTGTGTGTCTCCCATCCCTGCTCTCGCACTGGCAAGGGTGTGGGTGCTACTAGCTTGCTCGTGTCTTCCTGGCATTCCCATGTTGAAATTTTAGCCCTCAACAGAATGGTGTTAGGAAGCAGCGCCATCGGAAGGAACTTGTTCTGTAGCGGGCAGCTCTCTGTCAACCAGGAAGCACTAGCATCATGATGTTGAACTCCCAACTTCTGGAGCTGTAAGAAATGAACGCCCATTGCTTATAAGCACCGCCCATTTATTGTAATTTGCTACAGTAGCTGTCCTGACCTATTTATTATAATTTGCTACAGTAGCTATCCTGTCCTATTTATTATAATTTGCTACAGTAGCTGTCCTGTTTAGTTTTGTTTTGCTTGTTGTTTGGGGGGGGGAGGATCGTTTTATTTTATTTTGTTTTTGACAACTTGATACAAGGTAGAGTTATTTGGGAAGAGGAACATCTACTGCCTCTATCAGAATGATCTGTAGGCAAATTCCCTTGATGAATGATTGACTTGGGAGGGCCCAGCCCACTGTGGATGGTGCTGTCCCTGGGCAGGTGGTCCTTGGAAGTTTAAGAAAGGGAGCCAAATGTGAGCCTAAGTTGCAAACCAAGGAGCATGGTCTCTCTCTGCTCGTGTGCAGCCTCCAGGTCCCTGTCCTGAGCTCTTCATTGGCTTTTGCTGGTGACAGATCCTCATCTGCAAGCCCAAAGGAATCCTTTCCTTCCCAAGTTACTTTTGGTCATTGGGTTTTCTCATAGCAACAGAACTCAAACTAAGAAAGACAGTAGCAAAACATACGAAGAATGGTGTCTCTAAGCTAAGTAACTTTAAATTTAAACTACTCCGTTGTTCTGTTAAAAAAAAAAAATTAGGGAATTTTTTAAATCAGGCTACATTCCGTTGTTCTTTTTTTTTTTTTTTCACATGTTTGAGAATTTCATACATGAGTACTGTATTTTCTTCATATACCCCCCTCCCTCATTCAACCTTCTGTGCCCCCAACCCCCTCTCAAGTTCATGACATAAATTTTGTTATAAACGTGTGTGTATACATGCATGCATAACCTGCCGAATCCATCTAGTGTTGTTCATATGTAGGTGTGTTCAGAGCTGGCCATTTGGGACTGGGTAACCTACTGGGGGTTAATTCCCGGAGAAGCCATTAATTAGCTGTAGCTCTTTATCTAGGGGCAGGGTCTTGTCCCCCATCAACTGGTGTTGCCATATTCGGATCTTGTTTAGAAGACGGTAATTTTGATGTTTGTTTTTTAATGTCACTTCATTGTCATGTACAGAAGACACTGTCCCAGAGCAGGTGTCCTGGAATTTACACCCTCTCTGAGATATTCTCTGAGCCTCGGGTCTAGGAGTTGTGTTGTAGATCTGTCAGTTGGAGATGGACACTATACACAGTAGTTCTCTGCAGTTTTGACTGGCTGAGGGTTCTTCCGGTGATTTACAGCTGCTGAGGAAAAACTAATTGCTGACTTTGAATCACAAATCCATGCTGACTCTTCCGTTTCGGTATTTTTAAACCATCCTTCCAGAATCCAAAGGGAAATCGCCCTTTTGTAAGGGTACGTAGTGTCTTAGTCGTCTTTGCACCCCCAGGTCTCCCATCAGACTATCAAATGGACTTTTCGCACACTCTAATTAAAAGGGTGGATGGACTGAAATACTCTGGAGAGTTTCCACTCTTATTTAAGACTTTCGTGGTTGATTTGGAGGGGTGATGAAGGATGGTACTGTGCTAGGCATCAGGCCCAGAGGATACGTGCTCCCCAAGACCTCCATGGCTACTGTGGCTCCACACGCCTTGTTCCCACACGTGGGGACCACAAGGGGAGAGACTGCTCCCGCTCGCCTGAACACTTGCCCTGACTTTCAGCTCCTGCTACAAACAACAGAGGGAAAATCAGAACCTCCGAACGGCACAGCCACCGCCATGAGAGACGACACGGGTCAGCCTTACGTTATTTCATCTCCTTTATTTGGTTTGGGCTAGAAGGGAAGTCCTGGTTGTCAGTCGGCAGCTTGGTCAGTCCATAAGTCTTTGCAGCCCTCTGTTTACACCATCTGTGCATGCATATTCCTCCCACAGCCAGGAAGAGCAGCGGCAAGGGTGTCAGAGCGACACCCCAGGAGAACGCGGAGGACACTGCAGAGAGGAGAGGGCGTGAGAAGGAACATCTCGCCGAAGCAAGCGCAGGGCAGGGCGATGGCGAAGAAACAAATCAGAGTTTGTTCTCCTTGATAAATGTGCACTGGTTTCTGGGAAGTTTCTCTCTTATACCAAAGCCAAAGCCACTGGAGGATGACATCTGTGACACCAGAGGGCAAGCAAGGTGGGCAAAAAGTAACTAAAGGACATCACAGAACAAGGAGCCGAGCCCATGGGGCTGTACCAGCTGTGGGTGGTGAATGTAAGAGGGAACTTGCTTTTGTCTCTGTTAGCTAGCTGTCAGCGATGTGCCAGGGGGCAGTCTGCACCCTGCCCGTGCTCACGGGTGTCATGGGGATTCAGTAGGAAGTAGAGGCAAAGAGAAGAAGTTTTGCTTAAAGGACTTTGGATGCCAGTGTTGTGTATTTGACTCCTAGACAACACTGTTACAGAAATACAAGAAGGGATTGTGATCTCATGTTCACAAGGCCACAATTCCACTGTGTTTTGTTTTGTTTTTGAGATAGGGTCTGGCCACGTAGCCCAGTAGGACCTCAGATTCTTGATTCCCCCCTTGCTTCGGTTTAAAGACTAGGTCTACAGGTATGTAAGATTTCCCATTTGTTAGAGGTGTGTGTGTGTGTGTGTGTGTGTGTGTGTGTGTGTGTGTGTACGTGAGTATGCATTGTGATATGTGTGTATGTGGAGGTATTGTAGGGTCAGAGAGGGGGGTATATGCCAGTATGTGTGCGTAGCTGTGTAAGTGTGTGCAGAGACCAGGAACTAACTTGGGAGTCTTCCTCCATCACTCTCCACTTTACTTTTTTTAGACAGGGTCTCCCACTGAACCAGGAGTCCATCTCTTGTCTAGACTATCTGTCCAGGGAGCCCCAGGATTCTTCTGTTGCCCCTTCCCAGCATTGTGATTATGGGTACATGTTACCATTGCTGGCTTTTTTCATGGATGCCTGGCATCTGAATTCAGGTCCACTTTACCTGATGAACTTCTCCTCAGTATCAGATTACACATTTGGAGCTAGTATTTGCCATTCTTTGTCCAGGAATTAACAGGATCTCAAGAGGATTCTATGGGGGATTCTCACACTGCCATGCAGTTCCACATGGATGGGAACATACGAAGCTGTAATTTTCTGAGAAGTAAGTTGCATATGCCTCTCAATCCTAATTGTGCCCTTGAGAAGCAGCGACAGCCTCCCTGAAGACAGACACGCTAAGCAGAACATATAAAAGGACTCCAGTGCAGGGACCATGCACAGTCCAGATTCCTTTGTTGATCTGGTGCCCAGATGGGGAAGCAACTCTGGGATGGGACTCTCATTTCCAAACCTATACAGCTCCTAAGTCACCAGGTCCCTCCTCCCAGCTTGAATGGCACTGGGATGACTTGAGACACCACCCCAGGCACACAAGCTCCACTTACACAACTTCAATCTGGAGGCATCCAGGGCAGTTGCAATCTGGGGTAGCTGAGGAGAATGTGCCTATGGTCAAACAGAGACTCGGGTAGGTGCGTGTTGACAGGGTACAGAGCTCATATGGGGATGCACTGAGTATCAGCTGCCACTCTGAGCTTTGGCCAAATCATCTTCCCAAATTAAAGTCTGCCTACAGCTGCCTCCCTGGACATGTGAACTGACATGGGACAAAGACATTTCGCTGACCGCTGGAGCAGCCTGCTGCAGGTTATTATATCCTGGAATTGTCAACAGAAACTATATTAATTATACCTCACTTTCCTGCTCACCATCCAACAATAAGATTTTTGTTTTCCTTTTTAAATGTCATTACACACTACATTTATTTCCTGTTGTTTGATGGCCTTGACCTTACAGCTGCCCTTAAATCCCTGGTCCATCCAAAGCAGGACAGACATCTTCAACTTCAAGTTCAAGATAAAGAATGATGCATTGCCTTCTAGAGACCACGTGAGGTGTGAGGTCAGCACACCTTGGAGATGATCCAAGGCACAGCCCCAAGAGGACACAGGGGGTTCAGTTCATTGCAGGTTTTTGTGTGTTTGCTAAAAACCATCCCAACTTAGCTTTTCTGTTTCTCTGAGTATAACTTCCCAATGCTGAGTGTCCACCCTACTGACCATTCTTTTTCAAAGCAGACGTAGATGGAATATTAACCTCCTCAGGCATGATGGCCAGACTCCAGGTCCCCAGCACCTACATACGTGCAAAGTGGATGTGGCAGCCTGCTTGTAATATCAGCACCCAGGAGACAGAAACAGGGAACCCTGGACTCATATAATAGCTACACTCATACCATCGTGAGCTCTGGGTTGGAGAGACCCTGCCTAAGTAAACAGAAGGAGAAGGTTGAAGAAACCCAATTTCTCTCTCTCTCTCTCTCTCTCTCTCACACACACACACACACACACACTTACCTGCACATGCATTCATATGAACACACATACATATCTACACATCCAACACATAGACATGCCACTAAAATAAAAAGAAAAGAGAGGGTTTGGAAGCTGGGGAAATATCTCAGTCAGTAAAGCGCTAAATTTGAATTCCCAGCAACCATGTAAATACACATTTATAATCTCAAGTCCGTGGAGGGGTGAAGATGGTCAGATGCCCAGAGCTCATTGGCTGGCCAGCCCTAGCCGAATCAATGTGCTCTACATTCAGTGGAAGACTCTGTCTCGAAAAATATAAGGTGGAATGCAATCGAGGAAAACATCCAAGATCCGTCTCTGACCCCCTACACTCACATACACACACACATATGAACATGTATGTACAATACACACATACACACACACGTACTTGAGGTTTGTTTTCAGTGCCCTACAAGGAAACATCCGTGTGCAGCTCTGTCCAGCGCTTGTGAATCTCTCAGTAAGTTGGCCTTCCTTTCAGGGTCCCCCAGAAACATACCTTCCTTGACTGTGGTATGGAGTGACTGAATACTCCACGGATTCCTGGCAACGCATTTGAAATCTGTGTTCAGATCCTCCTTCGTGACCGGGTCGAAAATCAGTGACACCTCCACGTAGCTATCACCATTCTCTGAATATTGTCTGGGTGAGGAGATGTTTGATTAAGCACGATGCCTGTGTGGCAAGCAGGCTTGCTTCCCAGGGAGACGTTCTCGAGGTAGAAACACCTGCCCTATTTAAACTGACCACAACTCCTGTGGAGTTGGGAGAACTTGCCATCTTGTTTATTTCTTACTTGAGGGGCCTTCTAGCCGGTCCCTGGAGGACAATGTGTCTTGAAGATGCTGTTCATTGTAACAATCAAAAAACATACTCTCTTCTTGGTCTGGATGGAAAACTCCATGGGGGGGGGGGTGAACAAAACCACCTTCAATAATCGAATAGAAACAGAAAATTCTAGTTTGGGGAATTTGACTTTCTCACCAGTCCGTTACTGAATGGTAAGGCAGAGGGAGTTTCCAGAACCTCAGCCCACACCGCCCCCCCCCCAACCATGGGTGTCCTCTCTCGTTGCTACAGCTGCCCTTGTGACAGAAACAAATCCAGGTCAGAGGCATGAGCCAGCCCAGGGAAGAAGGTCCTAGTCGGGGAGGCTACCATTTGTAATGTTAGCAGAAGCCGAAGATACCTCACAGCTATCCATTCATGCAAACAAAGGCATTCCAGAATGTGTTAACTAGGACTATTAAGTAAGTAGTCTGAGTCTACGAACACTGGACCATGTATCGTGCCTAAAGGGAACCGAAAGCGTATGAGTATGCTACAGCATCATTCTCATCCACTCATTGTACCCACAGAGAACTTTTTGTTCATCTTCCCAAAAATGCTAAAGAGGGACAAGCACAAGTCTAGGCTAAATCAAAGTATTGAGACTACTACAACTTAAGAACTAGAGGAGACTGTGAGTCGTCTGTCTTCTTTCCTGTCAATTCTCAGAGTGCAAAACCCTATCCAAGGGATAGGTGCTTATACACAACTAATTCTCTCTCTCTCTCTCTCTCTCTCTCTCTCTCTCTCTCTCTCTCTCTCTCTCTCTCTCCTTTAGAGACACACCAGGCTACAATTCTAGTACAGATACTATGGCAAGGCATCACAATGTTTATGAGGGCTTATGAAAATCTTTTAAGAGCAAGAGTATGACAGAATGAGAAATGGAAATATACCAACTCCAAAATATTTTAGACATGCAAAAACATCGAGAAATAGGAGATTCAAAATGTAGGACCGAGAGAGCAGAATGCTGAGCCCTATCTCTCCGGTAAGATAAGACCATGTGGAAATACTTAGATTAATAGAAATGGGTTAATATTTAAGACAGAGCTAGCCAATAAGAGATGCTAGTAACAGGCCAACAGCATTATCTCTAAAAAAAAAAAAATCAAGAAATAAAATGTTCAAAGAGTCAGCTAGTGAACCGCAACCCATACAAGTCTGGAGACAATGTTCAGTGCTCAAGATAATTTTTTGTTTGTAAAATCCAATTTTTAAAGTTCTAGATCCCCAACACTTTCTCACTTTTTTTAAATGTTACTTTTATTACACTATATGCATGTCATATTAACAGGTCCTGGACATAACACCACCTCCAGAAGGGAATAAAGCACAGCAGAAGACCCTCACCCACTTACTGGTGCAGTCCCTCAGTCACACGGCCACTTGGGTAGGCCACCGAGATAAAAGTGTTGTTAGCCATCCACCATACAATGGTGCTGAAAGATGTATCCGTCCCCAGAAACACCTTGCACGGGACTATCAGTGTTGACCCTGGGTACAGCAAGATACAACACATCAACCATCAGGGGAAAGGCCGTCCTATGTCACATCCCTAAGACAGGCCCTTCCTTGTCTTCTCATCACAAGTCAACTCCTTCCTTGAGAGGGAATTTAGTCTCCTCAAATGGTTCTGCTGAAGTAAAGCTCACTCCTTGTTTACCACATGTCTCCAGGACCGTGCAGGGCAGAGCTCAAAGCACGTGTACTTGGATGGCTCCGTCGAGGTCACTCGGGTCCTACGGAGCATGTACTGTTCGAAGGCTGTCTTCCTCCACAGCGACTCTTAACTACAGAAAATCCAACCACCATGCCATTCTTTCCTTTGGTTCATTCCTGGCCTCAGCTCTACTCTTTCCCAATGCAATGCCCCATTCCAAGAGGGCCCAGGGTTAGCATTAACCCTTTGAAAACCAACTGCATGGCCTAAGGATGGTGCCTTCTACACGGCTGTGCAATTAGCCTGGCTCAATCATAGGAGGCTATCTTTCCCTCCGAGTCACCCAAGAGGAGCAAGGAAAATGGAGAGTAAATCCCGTGCGCTCACTTCCTACTCCTAAGGTACGCCTTGTGCAGTGTGCCTGTTAGCATGCCTGGTCCCGTGCAATACTCAGGGAGAGACAGCATCCATAGGTCCTCCTCCATCACTTCTCGGCCCTGTGACCTTAAACACTCCCCACCCGCACCCCCTCCCATAATATAGTCCATTATATCTAGGTCATGCCTAATGTACAGAAAGTCTGGCCGCGTGCCCAGAACTGGGATAAAACAAAATAAACAAACAGTTGTCACATGACTGTAGTGTCCTCAAAGCAACAAGTCGGACTGGGCTCCACTTAGCTGAGCAGCACCTGAGATCCAGGAACCTGGGAGGGAGGCAGTACCAACTACTGGCGCCACTACTCTGATTTTTCAAGTAGCTGGTCAATAGGCAGGAAGGATGCAACTGATTCCAACTTCTGCACAAGAGCCCCTACCTCTATGGCCCAGGGTTAAACTTTAACATTTAAATTCAACACTTAACAGAGGTAATAATAATAACAATAATAATAACAATGTTTTGCTTTAAAAGGGACACTGAAGCTAGGGCTTAATGAGTGAGTATCAGCACTGCAAAAAAAATTACTAAAACAAACACATAAAAAGGTATGCATATGTTGGCTGGCTTAAAAAGCTACTCTTAAAAAGCCAGCCACTGCTAGCTTTATTTGAAAAAAAAATAAAAATAGATTCTTACTTCTGAGCAACTGCTAAATATTTAGAACATGAATTAAGTTAAATGTGCTAGAGATGCCAACTCTGTGAATTCTCTCCTGCAGTTAATAACCGCTCCCAAACTATTTGTCTTGTTACATTTAGGATTTTGTAGGTATAACTTTGAGAAAACAAAGTGCCATTGCGCTCAAATAACGGCGGTCCTAAAAGCTCTCGGCAAAGACAAAGGTCCCCTGCATTGATCATATCAGCCAATGCAGGGGACCACTCAGGCACTCTACACCCAAAAGACACAGTATGGTCAGCAGATTCAGGTCCCCAAACGCCCAACAATGGGCTTCAGGCACTATCTTGGGCATATGGGATACCCAGTCCTTTCAGATCCTTACCCAGAGATGCTGGTATTGTCTCTAGGGGAGAAATAATCACAGGGATGGTTTCCGTGGGTGTTTCTGAGAAAGTTGGAAGGAAAAGAGATTGCATTAGGGAAATCTTGGATTCAAGCTGAGATTCGGATTCCATTGTTTAGCTAATTAAGTGACCCTTCCCCGCGTGGCCAAGCATTTCGAGAATCGGCCTTTGTCTGGCAACGGAAATGGGCTCTCCATAAAACTGAGCACCTTAAGCCAATACTTTTCCCAGCAGAGACATTACTGGAAGAGGCCACAGTTACACATTCCTCTGGCAGATGGCCTTTTTATCTGCTCGGTGATGAACAATTAGCTAGTCCTCTCCCAGGCTTCCTGAATGCACCCTGGTGATAGCCAGAGGATGGCTTTTGTCTAAAGGTCTGCCCTACCCATCAACATTAAAGATTCGCTTCTTCAAGAGTAGACCCAGGGGTTGGAAAGTCGCCCGTGTGTGAGACTAATCCCACACTGTGTATTAAATTCCTTGACACAGTTTTAGCCACTGATGTTTTGTTAACTAAGGAGGTAAATCCTTCAGGGAGGCTGGAGTGGACCTCCAAGGACTTTGAGCCAGCTTGAAAGAACTGGGCACTTGATGTGAAGCAGAAAAGACATCTGGGAGGGAGGGAAGGGCCGGGAAACATCTCTCCACCGGCCTTATGAGTCCTGTTTCTCCTGCTAAAAAGCAGTTAAATTACCACTGAAATAAGCACCTGCCGAGCTAACGGTGCAGCGTAAGGAGCTGACAGGCTTCTCCACTGGGAAAGTGGCTGGCGTTGCTACCTATAACAAGGCTAAGACAATCAAGGAGCAAAGGCCAGCATCAAGAACCACTCTCTCCATCTTGACTGTGCGCCTGTATGGCCTTGAGGGTGCAGGGCTTGGGAAATAAAGATTTGAGCACCTCAACTCCCAAGCTCCAGCTTGGCAGATCTGCCCAGGACCTGGGATTCTCCTGCATGGGGACTACAGATTCTCTGTGAGCAGTACTCAAGTAACCTTGCTACTTCTGAATAAAGACCACCACCTGAACCACCGTGTCCTACCCAGGTTCACAACTCAGTACAATATGCTGGTCTGCTGCCCTCTAGTGCCGCTACGAAGTATAACACAAACAAGCTGAACCCTGAAACAAGCAAAGAGTTATGAATGGGTTCTCGGGCCACAAGGGAAGAAAAAAGTATAACCCAGAGAGAGGCTTGGGCTCACAGAGGAAAAGTTATTCCTCGTGACGCAAAGGAATCTCTAGGTTCTGTGAGAGAAGTTCTCTTCCCCAGAAGTTATTTAACCCCAAGATGTTCACAAAGCTCTCTGAAAGCAGCCTTTAATTAAAGATCCCAATTGTGTCTGATCGTCAGGATACAGAAATACTGCATCTTCCCCAGGGCTGAGTCTGTGGCTCACATATTTTATTCTCCTTTTGCTTAGCTTCCTCTCTATCACGTAAGAGGTGGGATGGACACTAAATGGCTGTTAAATGCTGTCCAACACATCCCTTCCCCCCCCCCCCATATAATCTGTCCCGGTATAGGCTGAGCATCGCTTCTGTGGGTTTTAAAGACTTGAAGTATTCTAAAATCAAACTTGTTGAGCACCAAGGCCGTGCATGAAAAATTCCACACTGTGAAACTTGGTTTCATGCACAGAGTTATTTGAAATACTGTGGTAGCCACCCTGGTTTAATCCATCTTTAATCTCAGCGTGGGAAGACAGCAGTAGATTCTCCAGTTAGGAGCCAGCCTGTAGTCCCTGGACCATAGAGCCATTCTAAGTATAGTCTGAAACCCTGTCTCAAAACAAAACAAAAACAAAAACAAAAAAACCAATAATTAAAAAAAATTGTATCAATCTATCTTTGGGTTATATATATAAAAATATATATGAAACAAAAACGAATTTCATGTTTAAACTTGTACCTATCCCCAAGATATCTCATTATGTCAATGCCAGTTCTTAGTCAAGACTCTAGAGGTTTCTGTTGTCAACTTCCGGGCAGATAGTGCTCACCCCGAATGAAAGTCCTAGACATAACCTCAGCGGACAACAACCAGGACACTTTGAATGGGTCCATGTCAGTGCATAGCACTCTGGTCAAAACCCAGTAAAACAGGACTGGAGAGATGGCTCAGCGGCTAGGAGCACTTGTTGCCCTGGCAAAAGGATGAGGGTTCAATCCCCAGCACCCACACGGAGGCTCATCACAACCTTTAAGCCTTGTTCCAGGGGACCCAACGGTGTACATTTGGTACACATACATGAGTGGAGGCAAAACATTCATACACATAAACTAAAACAAATTTAATTTTAAAAAGGGAAACAGTGGTCCTCAACCTTCCTAATGCTGTGACCCCTTAATACAGCTCTTCATCTTGTGGTAAACCCCCCAAGCATAAAATTATTTCATTGCTTCTTTCGTAATTGTAATCTTTCTACTGCTATGTATCCTGATGTGCAGGATATCTGACGTGCAACCCCAGAAGGGGTCACAACCCACTGCAATAAAAATCTCCGTACCTTCGAAGTCTATACTAGCGCATGGCAAGTGTGTCCTGACCAGCTCAGTTTGCACCTTCGGTGTTCCGGAACACCTTGGTTTGGCTCCCCCTAGTGGTGAGTTGCCATTTTCCATCACCTACTTGAATCTTCTACCTGCCCAAGAATAAATTCGCCTTCTCTCAGAACTCCCCTGTATATATGGTTCACAGTATCCTGCGCATGCTTAGGAACATTTAGAGTAGTTGTGACATGTGTTTTCCTTTTCCCTTCATGCCAAAGACATTCGAGGGCTTCTGTGTGGTTCTGAATGTATTCGCACCATGCCATTCTAGGCACGACAGGTTCCTCAGCCGTTAAGTACTTACTCACCTTTGACACGGAATTCAATGTTCCTAGTGATGTTGTATTCCTTGCCCTCGTGGATAAATGTCGCAACACATCTGTAATAGCCCGCATCTGCCATGGATGTGTTGGATATCAGTAAGCGTGTGGGGTCTCCCGCTCTTAGAAATTTCTTGCTGTCTCTATCCAGGAGGACAGAGCCCTTGAGAGGAAATGTACCTTAAGGTTACATCATCATAGAATGGCTGGAACACTTAGGATCATATCATTGTCAATCAATGTAGAATCTGTAACCCAAAACTTTCCCCGGTACAAAATTACACTGACAGTTTTGTCTTTTGGGGCCCACTTTTAACTATATTTTTAGGAAAGTAATTTTTTTTTCTTCCCTTGAGGCAGGATCTTGTCATGTCGTTCACCCTGGCCTGACATGCTTGATTCTACTGCCTTAGACTTCTGGATTCTGGGATGGCAAGGATGTGTGGGCCCATACCAGTTTAGGAAAAAGGAATCTGTTAACATTCTCAAGATTAGCTTATTTTAGGCCATTTAAGTACAAATGTATTTGAGCAATGTCAAGGAAGATCTGAATTCAAGAGCCATGAAGACAAAAACAAGGGTGTGAAGAGGCCGTGTCGCAGGAATTTCTTTAAAAATCATTTCAATTTTGGGACTTACTACTGGAGAGAACATTTCTAAGTAAGTGAATAGGGGATCTGGGGTCTCATATGGACACAGGGTCCTGTAGGGCAAGACCTCCAGTAAAATAAGGGAAGGCACACAGGTAAGCAAATCCTTAGCATACTATGTCCTCAAGAATTTTGCTTCCTATACCCTGATAAACTCATGCATAGTATCATGTGCCTGTAAACTCAGCATTGGGGAAGCTGAGACAGGAAGATTACAAGTTCGAAACCAGACTAAGCTACCTAGAGAAACCCAGCTTATGCTGGAGGTAACAATGTCTGGTGACCTCAGAATCCGCACAACACTTGCCATTTTATTTAAGAAGAGCAAGGGGAAATAGTAACTGAATTTACTCCTGCAACCGAAGAGTCGCCTTGTGCTTTAAAAGGGATTTCTTTAGCATGTATATAAAACTTTTGTAAAAATGAACAGGGCTTCTTTTTCCTCTGCTTATTTTTAGGCAAGCGACAGTCAATCAAAATCTCTTTAGCAGCTATTTACTCTGGAATCATTTCATAGTCTACCTAAACCTTACCCAAACCACCCAAGGACCAACAGATAACACTAATCACTGCCATTTTGATTAATATTCTAGTTCCTGCTGTGTAAGCGCATGTGTGTCTACATGGATGTGTTGTCTTTGCACAGCTTTTGTGTATGCGTTCCATGGGTAGCAAACTTGTTTTGGAGCATACCTTATACCACTGCACCTTTCCATCAGCTCTGTTGGGGATGAATTCTTTCAGGTCAGGGCACACTAGCAGCCCCGTGGTTGAGACAGCTGAGATTTGCAAGTAGGAGATAAGTGGCAGAGATGCGTCAGTGTTCTTAAAAACCTTGAGTTCCATGGACATTTCCTCACAGTGAGATGCATTTCTAATTGTTTATTGAAGAAAAGAAGGAAAGAAAGAAAGAAACAGCCAATGAATGGCAAGACAGAAATACAAAAATGCAAGAGTGACTTCCCACCCCCATTCAAATCTGCCTGCATTGTCTTGGTGATTAGTGCTTAACTCCTGACATGATTAGTGCATTACATTCTAACGCTATATAGAAGCTGTGCGTCCTGTGTTTTCCATGAAGGACCCTGCAGAAGCTTCATGCCAGTGCCCAGGACACTGAGAAACCCCCAAGTCTTCTCCAAAGGGATTCCAAAGTTGAGGGCCTTGAACTCAGCCTAGATATGAACCAAGGAACTGCCCAAACAGATGGATTCCCCAGAACCACTGTCTCCATAAAAACAAACAAACAAAAAACAAAACAACAACAACAAACTTTCCTTCCTCTAGGAACCCTTTACCAAATGATTTCTAGTTTCAGGAAATGGCTGAGAACTTCGTGTTTAGACTTTAAAAGACATGAATAAAAGTGCATGGCAAGGGGCGTGGGGAACAATAATTTGCTGAGATGTTTTTAATTGTCAGTCCACCCATAATCCTAATATTGTGATTCAATCAAGCCCTTAGAATTTGAGAAAAGATCAAGGGTAAAAATAGTGCAGGAAATACGAGGGGAATAGATGAATAAATTAAATGTTTAAAGTAGAGAAACAAGGGCTTGGAAGGCAGAGAAGCAGTAGACCACACACTTGGTGTGGATGAGGCTCTGCATTTAATTTGCAATATCCAAAAAAATGAAAGAAAATAAAACATAAAAAAAAAATGATTGTATCAGCTAAGGCCCTAAGACGAATAGCTACCTAAGACACACCCAGTGAGACCATGAGAATCAATTGGAAATACGGTATAAAAGTTACTTTCACAAAGAGTCTAACAAAATACATCCAAAGAAAGAACATATGACAAGTACATGTGAGAGATTTGATAAATCCCCTAACTGGATAAAAGCTTTAAAGAGGAATCAGAAACATAAAACCAAGAAAAATTAAGCTAGATGGGCAATTTACACACAAATAAACAAGCAGAATGCTAACTCTCACTTTAAAAAAGAAATGAGTAATCACACTTGGGATCTAAAGGACATTGAGAAATCAAGCTGTATCTGTGCTGGAAGTCCTTGTCTCCCTACACCCACCCCTCCTCCTCCCCAGGCTAGCTGTCTCAGAGTCAGAGGGCGCTCAGGAGAAAAGTCATCAGGAGTCTGACCGGCTGTGGACCCCATAAGCTGCCGCCAGCTTCCCGTCTGTCAGGTCTACCCGCCCACTGATGTACGGGTGGCATGGCTCTTATGGAGGTAACCAACTGTTCTCTGGTTGCATCTGAGGCTTCTTCCACAGAAATGCATGCTTGGTTCTGCCAACCCGATCTCCAAGGCTAGAGAGGTCATAGGCCCTGAGGGGAAACTTTCTACTTTTGTTTTGCTAAATGGACGCGATGTCATACTGTTTATACCAGTAGACGAATGCCACTCTCAGCCTTCACCAGAGAGGGGGTGGCCACACAGACACCCAGTGCTACTACAAATATAAAGAGTGTATGGAGTGCTCAGCCCTAGCTAGGACACACACTCGCAGACTCGGAGAACATTTCAGACGAGGGGGCCGGAGGAACGTAAAACCCACAGCTTGAGGTAATGCCACGGGAGTTAGCATCTTCTGGATGCGGCATTGCCCCCCCCCCTTATTCATGAACTGCTAGCAGCTGTGCTTGCCTGGGTAACATTGGGCTGGTTCCAATTGCATAATTCACTGGGGAGGAACTGCCTAGGTCCACTCCTCACTGAGGAAGAACTATGAGCAATGAATGGGTACCAGGGGAAGGGGTTGCCGTTTGCTTCAGCCGCTAGTAAGTTGTCTGTGTTCTCCTAGTAAATAAGCACCCACCCGTGCTGGTGCAAGCAACCATGATTAAACAGGACGGGACACACACGCGCGCGCGCGCACACACACACACACACAAAGACACTAAAGTTGGAAGAGAATTTGGGCAGGGGTGGGGTGGGGTTGTGAAAGGGGGTTTCAGTGGGGAAAAGAAGGGGATAAAAGACAGCAATGGGAAATGAAAATGACCGAAATTCAGTAAATATGTGTCTGAAGTTACCCAGACAAACCAAAGGGGGTATGAAGGGTGCTCACGGTAGCTAGTTTTAGTAAAGTGCCCTCCCGTCGAAGAATACATATGGAAGTAATGATTACAATGGTGCTGTCAACTTCAGTAAATTAAGCACGCATTTAAGTAACCTTAAATTAATAATGTGTGTGTGTGTGTGTTAAGCACACATTCAAATAACTTTAAATTAACCATATATATGTATGTATACACATATATGGTAATAGTGATTATAATAGTGCTTTCAACTATAGTAAGTTAAGTTCGAATTTAAGTAACCTTGTAAGTCTCTCTGGCTACTAAAAGACAAAAAGCAGAGGCTCTTGGAAATCCCATAAACTATGAGAAATCTCCAGAAAGCAAGCTTGCCACACGTATTGAGCATGACAGGCTTGTTCACATTATTGATCTGGTATTCATTCCAGAGTTTTTTCCTTTTTTTTTTTTTTTTTTTTTTTTTTTTTTTTTTTTCCTCTTGGGCAAAACATTAAGACTGAGGACTGTTTGTTCTGGCAACATTATCTTGACTACTTTGAGCGACTGAAAGGTCATGTGGGTTCCCAATAGCAAGAATATAAACACGGAAGAACAGGGCGGTCTCATGTCCTGGAACTGTAAATACCCAAGTTTGTCCTAGCAGTTGCTGGAGATTTCCATTCTAGTTGGAGCCCAGTATTGCACAGTCAGAAGAGAAGGCAAGCATCCCCCAGGCAAGGAACACCCCAACACCAGTGTTTTTACCACCCTACCTCAACCTCAGAGCTTTCCTTTTTCCTTGCAAAAATAAGGGCATTGGCAATAATTCTTAATCTAGCATAGAAACTAACTACAAGGCCAACGTTCACCCCTCCCTAACATTCATACCTCTAGGTAATAGTCCTGCAGGGGCTCTGGGCTCATATTGGTCATAGACCATGAGTCCCTGTATACCAGATCCTTCCCATGCTGTGGTCAGCGAACCTAACCCTAACCCTCCCAACAAACCTCTCAATGGGGAAGAAAACTGGGACTTGCGTATCAGGATAGGGGTAGGGCTGTCTTTCTGTCTTTCTGGTTGGTTTTATTTTTGTTTACTACAAGTCTACGTTTTCCTAGTAGTGTTCCTCAGAGTCAGATGGAAAACCTTGGAGGAAAAAAAGATGCTTTGTGCCTGCTGCAAAATCTTATGTTCCCATTTCCCCAATACAGGAGTAAGAGATCCCTGGGCTGATCCCTCAGCAAAATTCAACAGGTCTAAACCTGTCTCTAAGCTAGTTACAGGGGAAGTAAGGCACGCACACAGACCCCAGTGCCAGGCTGGGTTTGACCTGAAAGAATTATTGACACCACAAACACACACACACACACTCACACACACACACACACAACTCACACACACACACACTCACACACATTCACAGACACACACAACTCACACACACAGACACACACATTCACAGACACACACACTCTCACACACGCATACACACACACACACACTCACTCACACACGTTTTTTATACACCCCCACCTCGGACTGGGGCTGATGTTGTCTGAGCTTCTTCCATTTGTACGAAGAACATCAGCTTGTGTGGTCTCCTAAGTGTCAGTGCCCCGGGCAATCTCTGCATGAATGAGTTAATGAATGGGAACAGGATTCTAAAGCCAGCAGGTAGGTGGCGCAAGCAGAGGCCCCGGGGGCAGAAGCAGCAGTCATCTGGAGAGGGAAGGCTGCTCTCCAGTCCTGCCAAGACTGTGTCCTTTCTGGAGACCTGGGCCAACAAACGACCAAGATCCTCAACAGGAAGCCAACAACGTTACCCTTCAAAAAGCTGCAGACTAGAGCGGTCTTTTTAACAAACGGGCTGAGAGAGCGGCAGAGCGAGCCCTGTGCAAAACCAGGGCTGGCACCTGAAACATGGGAGTTAAACATATGTATAGAATTATAGGAAGAAAATGCAGGGGGAAGCTTCAGAGAACACAAACTGTAGGAGGAAAGTACATAATTTAGAATTCACCAAACTGTGACTGCATTTGAACAAAGGACGCTATCAATGGAGTGAACAAGCAAGCCAGAGAGTGAGATGAAGTATCCCCGAGTCCTACAGCTAATAAGGAGTAGACGTTCCCAACTCCCCCAGTTCAATAGCAACCAAAATACAGTGCAGCGCTCAAAAGTGGCAAGGACTTGAGGAGCCATTTCTCCAAGAAACGTATACAAGGGGCCAAGAAAGACATGGAGGGCTGAAACACCCAGCAACTACAATCAAGCACAGGAGCTGCCATGCCTAGAGCACGGTGAAAAGCCAATAGCGACCTGCATTGGCAAGAATGGAGAGAATGGAGAGTAGCAGACCCCCGCGGGGATGGAAGTCTATGCAGCTGCTGTGAACAACACATTGGTAGTTCCTAAAAAAATATAAGTCCAGACATAAATAGCCAGGTGATCCAGAAGCATGAACAAAAGCTTATGTAGTAAGTCATAATGGCGTTACTGGAGACAGCTGCAAAGCAGGGCAAACGTGGATGTAACCTCTCAGCCCATTCTCCTGCACCACATCTGCCTGAGTGCATGGATGCTTCCCACCAGGGTGATAACGGACTAAACCCCTGAAGCTGAAAGTGAGCCCCAATGAAATGCTTTATTTTTTTTTTAATAGGAATTTCTATGGTCATAGTGTCTCTTCATAGCAATAGAACACTGACTAAGACAATGGGCTAGGCCCTTCTATATAAACCATTAATCAAAAAGCATCCCACATATTTGCCTACAAGTCAGTCTGAAGGAGACAATCCCTCACTGGATTTTTTTCCTTTCTCCATGAAGCTAGCTTCTGTCGAGTTGGCAAAATAAATATAAATAAATCCTAACCGGCACAGGGACTCTTCGGGGACACGAAGGAAAACCACAGTGTGACTTGTCATCTGTGTGCTGAAAACCTGGAGACACCCCGTCCCAGCCCCAGAGGTCTTACCTGAATGTGCAAATGTAGATCCCAGAGTCCTGCTGCACAGCGGGCACTACCCAAAGGGTGGCGCCCTTCACCCACATCCTGGGCTCATCTCCTGGGATCAGCTGAGAGGAGCTCTGTTTCCGCCAGGTCAGAAGTGGGGAAGAACTGGCAGAGGCTTCTGAACGAGTCAGAGGGCACCTCAGAGCTACGGGCTCTCCTTCCAGCCTGAATTCAGATTTCAACTCTCTGCCACGGAATCGACAGTTGTCCCCAAGCACTGATGGTCAAAGACAGGAAGCTTTAGGTCACAAACCTGCTCATATCACAAAACCTCAAGAGCCCAAACTGAGGGCGGTTCCAACTAAGTCAGATTCCGTATGTTCCCAACAAACCAGCCTGTACCCAAGGACCAGTGTTACTATGACTTTGGCCTCCCAGATGATAGTCTGGGGATGGTCGATTTCAGTTTTCATCCTGAGGAGGGAGGGGGCAGGCTGGAGTTCCAGTCTTCAGCACCTACATTAGAAAGCTCACAACCATCTGTAACTCTAGTTACAGGAGAGCTGACACTCTCTTCTGACCTTCCAGGGCACCTACACACACACACACACACACACACACACACACACACACATACACACACACAGATACACACAAAATTTCTAATCTTCTTTTTTTTGAAGATTTAAATACATGGTTATAATTTTTCATTTGTTGATATTGTAGGTTAAAAGGGATTGGTTGTGACAGACTGTATGTTTTAAATCAAAGGTGTGATAGCTAAAGAAACTCTATTTTATGCTAAGCCTACATCTTGCATCTTGGTACCCACTTGCCATCTGTCTCTGACTCCAGCCCCTGGCAGGAAACGACCTTGATTATCTAATCTTGGCAAAGCAGAACACGTCTTGGTTTGCTTGTGCAGATACTCACTCATATTCTTCTTATACTTTTTTCCTTTAAAATTCCCTTCCTCGCTCCCTTCCAGCAGCGATGGTCTCTAGTCTGGCTCAGAGACTGCTGCCCCTGCTAACAGTAAACTTAACTAATTACAATCTGAATCAAGTCTGCGGCCCTTTTTCCCAGGGGTCTCAATCCGTAACAAATGTATCTTTGAATAAGGCCGGGTTTGCCATGTTCTACAAGTTTGCAGTTCGCGGTCTGTTTGGAGAATTGTTTTCCCCAGAAATGCTGGGTGCAGCCCTTTTGCAGCTGATGCCGTTGTTGTTTCTTACCTGTGTGCTCCTCTGGCGTGCGGGGGGACACGGAAGCCCTTTCTGTGTGCACCGGTGATGAGGTGGTGAGGGCAGACACCCCGGTCACCAACACACACAAGATGAACATTGTCACCAGCTTCCCGCGGGCACAGGGCTCCCACAGCCTGCAAGAGGAGAAAGAGGAGTCAGCGGGAAGGTGAGCTTCCGTGGGAAGATGGTCCTGGGGGGGGGATAGAACAGGCTCTTGAAACTGCACCGGAGAATGGGAACATCTGGCCTACAGAGTTTCAGATAAGAAAATCCAAACCATTTGTATCTGTCTCCCTGTGGCATTAAACCCCCAGGCACCTCCCGCAGACTTACCTGGAACGGAAATTTCAGGTCCCGAGCTCTGGCTTTACAGAAATGCATCTCGGCAGCTCCTGCCCTGGGCCACTGTTTGTAACCTTTCCTCCTCCCAGCCTGTGCCCACACCATTCTGAGTGAGGTATCTCCCCCCCTCCCCAGAATAAGCCATGCACCACCCTCCAAAGTCTGCTGTCTGGCTCCGTGGTCTTCTGCAACATTCTTCATTAAACACAAGAATCTATGAGGATTCACCTCATTCTATCTACCATCCTACTGTTGCTGAATTTGCGAACAATTCAACAAATCACTAGAAGCCAAGAGGTCCTCAGGTTTTACTTGTCATGGAGCTTTTCCTGGCTCCACACAGGCAGATTTAACAGGTCATGGATGAAAAGCCAGCAAAAGGAACTGCCCCCGTCATTACCCATCCACTCAGCCCTCTCTGTTACCTGCTTTCCCTGACAGTGATGGGAACTTACAGGGAGCTACCCTGCCTCCTTGGCCTCGGGTTCTTCCGCTCCTTTCAAGGCAGAAACAAAGCAAGCTACTCCTTCTGAGTGAGGCTTTGGTAGGGATTACGCTCGGGGAGCCATGGGGGGAGCAGAACGCAGACCAAGGGCCTCCAGATCACTCTGAAGGGGCAAGGACAAAATCATTCCTACACAACCAGAGATGCTCGCCTTGGACACCCCAGGAGATTGCTCTGAACTGAAATCCCTCTGTGAGGGAAACGGCTTAAATAGCATTATCCTGCAGAGCCTGTTTCTCATTAAAGACAGAAACAGGGTTGAGAAATCAGCACTCGCTTCATCTGACCCATCCCACCCTCCACCCTCAAGATTATTATCTTCTGAGATTTTAACTGTTCACGATCGACATTATCTGTTTCTGGAAGCTCCAAAGACCAGAGGCATAGAAATCTCTCCTTGACCGTTCTAGTGACGTGTGGTCCTGATGGTATGGGTTAGAAACCTATAGTTGGTCATGTCTGGGGAGCTCACTATTGTCCTCTGGATCCTAACAATGGCACTTATCTGTGTGTCTGTATTTGCAGCCCAGTTCTTTTTCTTGGCATGGTTTTCTTAGTACTTTGACCAAAGCCAATAAAGATGAGGCTCTTCCTGACCCTGAAGAAGCATGGGAGTTTCCCGAGGGTCCTGATTACGTTGTGAAAAGGCACATAGGATTGTGGCTCTGACGATATTGAAATTTTGGATAAATATTGGGTCCCCTTTATCTTCATAGATAACGGTGGGACCGAAGGAACCCCCGTCCAAGAAATCTTTCTAGCAATTCCAAGGCCAAGCTGTATTTTCACAGACTCTCTGTTAGGGATGCCTATGAGTTTTGAACTGGGAACCTGTCAAAGCAAGCTAGCTCATGAAGACTTTTCTGGCTCTGCAGAAACCTATCAATCCTCTCTAAAGAGATAAAAGCAGGTGTCAACTGGAAGGAAAGTAAAACTCCTTACTTATATTCATCTCTGGGCAGCTGACATTCAATGATGGTCCAGAAGCTGAATTAGAATAGAACAGGAAACTCTTTATATAATAAAAATTTTTCCCTGTTTGCCGGTCAAGGTTTACCTGAAAGCAAGGCCCTGCTAGTGTGATAGTAACTCTGTGGGGAAGGTGGTAGATCCTGAAGGACCCTCAGGCCTCTTCAATCCAGGCGGTGGCATTCTCCTTAGGGGACCTGACCTGAGCTTGGGCTTCCTGTGGGATGCCCCTCAGCTTGCCCTCTCTGAGGTGACCCTTCCTTTGACAGTATGGACACCGGTTCTGACCTGGGTGTTATTGCTTCTATTGGATCTGGCTGAAGATCTCCAGGGACCATGTGGGGTTGCCCTGAGGTAGCAGTCAAGTCAGAGAAACCAGTGCTTCATAGGCTTCTCTAATCTCTTCTTCTTACACCTTCCCCTTCCTCCTGCCCTGTGGTAAAAAGACTCAAGGCCACTACCAGAGCCGACAAAGGATCAGAGTCTGCCTCAAGCCGTATAACTCCCCGTAGGACCCCGGGGCAGCCTGTGTCATAAAATGGGTAGCCACTGAAGCCCTTATTTCCACTGCGCTGGGGACACTGTTGGCATACTTCCAGAGAGTTCAAGAAGGCCTAACCTGATCGCGGTGAAAAAGGCTGTTCCTTCAGAAACACAGGTCACATGATGTTCTGTTCTCTCCCTAGCTCCAAGGTGGAATTCTCCAGGTCTCGGTGGGGACTGTAGTGAGATCTCCACCCCGCCCGCACCTGTTGCACCGAGAACGTCCATTGGAGCGTGGGGACAGCGGTTGTGGCTGGTCTGGAGTCCCAGACGCCCGCTCGCACACGTTAAATCGGGAGACTCAGGTACTGATTCACCTGTGTCTTCTCAGGAAGTTCCCATTCACTTGGGTTCACGTTTCTCAGCATTGCTGCGTACTAGAATCACCCGGAAGCTTTCAAAAAAGTACCTAACACCCTTAGAAACTGCAGCTGACAGGGGATACCCAAATCAATAATCATTCTTCCCCCAAGACGACTCCAACCCGAAGTCAGCAAACAGCTAGATCAGCGTGCTCTTTCAGAGATAAGCTTAAAGACGTGTAACTGGAGTTGCTACGTAGAGAGTTTTGCTCTTTCTAAATTCCGACAGAAACAGGGGTTTGAAGAACTACACATGTCAGCTGCGTCCCCAGATCCAGCCTTCCGTGTGGGAGCAGGAAGAGTCTGGAGAGGGACCAAGACTGGTAAGGTACTAGACGGTGTTAGGGAGTTGTAGACCTAGGGGCCTTGGAGACTCGTTCCCATACAGATCCAGGACAGAAGATTATTCACTATAGAGTCCTGATAGCGTTTCATAGACGCCTGTCTTTAGGGCGTTTCTTCCCACCATCCCTCCCTTCCACAGAATAGCATTGCCTCTGAGATAGCTATTTGCTAAGACTACTTGCTAAAGTCAGAAAACATGGTTGGGGAAACTGGCCTTCCTTATTCTTTCTCGGCACCTCTGCTACACATGCACGGATATCGTTCTTGCTGTTATCCCCTGAGCCAGACATTACAGCAACAACGCATCTAACATTTCCTTTGTGTTTGACATCGTAAGTGACGCAGGCACAATTCCAAGTATGTGGTGGGGTTATACAACTCATTAACAGGGACTGTACCATCTTTTATAGCGGTCCTGCGCATCGGTGTCTAGACAATCTTGAGTCAATGACCCATAGACACCAACGAATAAAGGAATTCCCTGGAGAGTGACTCTCCCTTTACACAACTCTGACATGCACTTACAGATTCTACACACTGCTAACTTCCCCGTCTAAAGTATTGGTTGGGGCAGGGGCAAGAATATTTTGAAGGAATTAGTATCCAAAAAGCGAGTATCACAGACAAGCTCATGAAGCATACCTGCCCTAAGAATGACTCTTCAATTGCTCATCTAAATGTCCCCATGGCCCCTCTCACACTACACCACCCAACTATTGGTTATACGGGCTAACCATTGCCATAGCAAGGCAGCCTAGCAGATCATCCCCCGTGCTGATGACGTCAGGTGATCATTTGCTCTGACTCACAGCTCTTTGTGTATCATATAGAGGCTGACTAGCAGGGCCGAGGATGACTCCAAGACATGGGAGGAGTCCAAATCTGCTCCATGTTTGTCTTAGCTCCTTCAAGCAGTAAACACCCATTCTCGGGAACGGCCAAGCAATGCAGGCAAATAGAAGGGAGGCTATGCTTGGAACCAGCCCCAGAATTCTCCCTTGCCCACATCCCACTGGCCTCAACAGGTCATGAGGTCAACCGGCAGAGGTGATTATGGGAACAGTCTCTATTGTGCTTGGCCTTTGCCTGCTTCTCCATGGGAGGTAACAACTTTCAGTCCAGAAACCATGTCGTGTTTACAAGCCTCTTGGCCTCAGGGTCCAACCGTGGAAAGCACCAGGGGATATTTATGACTGAAATTCTACCTGAGGTGTAATCTGAACCATCACCACACCTCCCTTCCCCTGAGTACGACTTGAAACAGTCCAGATAAGCATGCACCGATAAGCATGCATATTCCGGTATTCCTCCCTCATAAGCAGGGAGTCCGAGCACTCAGAACTGCCACCTTGGTGCCTCCTTTTAGTGACAGGACAGGGGCTCATTCTCCCTTAGGTGTGTATCTGGCCTAGCACTGTTTCCCCCCCAAGCCGTCCTTGCTTCCACGTGCTTTACTCACTCTCAACAAATGCTTCTTAAGCCTCACCCCGACCCTCTCTGTCCCCTTGCTTCGGTAGCATGAAAGCCATACAAACATTAGGCAAGTTGTCAAAGAGACACATGTTTATTCACAATAAGCAAGACGTGGAGTCAACTCAATATCCAAAGGTAGATGAATGTGATATAGATACATATTGGAATACTATTTGGTTATTTTTTTTTTAAGTATAAATCCTTCCATTTGCATCAACATAGCTGGAAGGGGTATCCCATCAAGCAAAAGAAGCCAGACATAGACAATCGCTATAAAACCTCCCCGGTGTGTGGAGCTGGAAAACGTTGATCACATAGTAGTGGTCTCTAGAGATGGAGGAGGGGACAGAGAAGTTGCGGGGACAAACAGTTGGTCAACTGGTACGAAATTAGAAGTCGACAGGGGGAATAAACGCTACTGGTCTGAGTGTGGGGGAATAAACGCTACTGGTCTGAGTGTGCAATCGGATGACTATAGTCAATGAAGATTTATTGTGCATCCCAAAGCAGCCAGGAGGTTTCCAAATGAGAGCTATACGGAGTGATCAATATGCTGATTGCATATCATCGATCATTGTGTAATATATG